CCACCCCCCAACCTACATCTGGCATCGGGACAGAGCTTGAGGGCAGGGGCGAGGACGAGGCTGGCAGGATAGTTTGTGACCCTGGTGGAGGTGAACTCAATTCCTTTGAACTTCTAATAACTAAATCCCAGAGTCAATGCTAGGTCCTGGGTGAGAGTAAAAAATCGAATGAGGGGAAGTCAGCGACTCTGAATCTCAAGGGCACTTAATAAGGGGCCCCACAGAGACCCTGCCTCCTAAGGACCATTTATCAGCTCCCCCCCCCCATTTTCCTGCATCAACTCTAATCACCCCTCTCTGGGTATGCAGGCGCCCTGCCTATCCCCTCTTCCTCATTCAGTTTTCTTGTCCTCAAACTACATATAAGTAAAAGCCACTACCCTGCACCCCACCCCCACCCCCGTTTACCAGGAGAGCTGGGGAATCATTGCACTCCTGGGTGGGTCTAGGGAATTGTAGTATCACAGTCCCACAGGGCCTCCTACCTCACCCAGCCCCACACACCTGGGGTCTGCACCTGGGGTGGAGGGAAGGGCATTTCTATCTCCCCACTGATGTATAGCTTGGTGGGGGGGCTGCTGAAGGGCGTCTGGGGCTGAAGGGCAGAGCAAATGTTCACGGTAACCCCCACCAGGCCCACATGGTCAACACCACTGGGCAGCCTCTTACCCGGAGTGTGGAAGCAGCGTCCAGTCCCCCATCAACATCCAGACCGACAGTGTGACTTTTGACCCTGAGTTGCCCCCTGTGCAGCCCCATGGATATGAGCAGCCTGGCCCCAAGCCTTTGGACCTGCTTAATAATGGCCACACAGGTGAGAAGCCCAGGCTCCAAGGAGGTGAAGGTTCCAGTTCCAGTCTTACAAGTCGGGGGAAAGAAGCCTTCTCCTAACTTCTAGATTCTGAGAGGGCTTCCTCTATAAATTTGGAGATGTGAGGATGGGGATGAGGGTCCTGTGGCCAAAGATAGGAACTAAAAGTCTATGATCAAGTTCAGTGGGTGGATTAGTATCACAGCATGGACTTGATCTTCACTGAGAAAGATGAGCTAGAAAAGCAGTGGCCTATGGGTGCTATCGGGGGAGGCAGACAAAAGAGGCTGGCCGAGTCTCCCAAGAAGGGTGGCAACCCCGGGAGTGGGGGTGTACCCACATTCCTCCACAAACCCTAGCTTACTCTCTTCCTCACAGTGCAGCTCTCTCTGCCCCCTACCCTGTATCTGGAGGGACTTCCCCAGAAGTACGTAGCTGCCCAGCTCCACCTGCACTGGGGTCAGAAAGGATCCCCTGGGGGGTCAGAGCACCAGATCAACAGCCAAGCCACAGCTGCAGAGGTACCAGGGCGCGAAGCCTGGACTAGGACCATGACAGGCACACTTGCTGCAGGGGAAAGGAAGGATCTGGAAACTGGGGAAAAGCCATACTTGGGGGATAACCAATCTTCGTGGGACAGATTTAGGACATGCTGGAGGTGGTGGTGGTGGGCACTAGGGTGGAAGCCTTCAGGAGTGGGTAGTGGAGAAATAGGAAATGATTCGATGCCTTCTCCCCTCAGCTCCACATCGTACATTACGACTCTGATTCCTATCACAGCTTGAGCGAGGCTGCTCCCAGGCCTCAGGGCCTGGCTGTCTTGGGCATTCTCATTGAGGTCAGTGGCCCCACTCCCTCTGCTTCCCTCAGTCCTATTCTGCCTGTGTCTGTTGCGGGTCTCTCCCCCCAGGCAAGTCAACAACCACTCTGACCATTTATTCTCTACAAGGACTCTTGCCAAACTCTCTCCCTTTCCTCCCCTTCCAGGTGGGTGAGGCTGAGAACCCAGCATATGAACATATTCTGAGTCACTTGCACAAAATTAGGTATAAAGGTGAGCCCTCCAAATCTATTTTAGGACAAAGTGAGATTGGACTTTAGGAAAACGTCCCCCGACCCTCATCCCTAAAGGCCTGAGACCTGGGATGAGGGAGCTAGAGGTCAGGGAGTTTCACTCCTGGAGACCCATCCAGGTCAGCTAGTGTGCAGCGAGGTGACCCCAGTATGTTCCGCGCAGGTCAGAATACCTCAGTGCCTCCCTTCAACGTGAAAGCACTGCTCCCCCCACTGCTGGCACAGTTCTTCCGGTACAATGGCTCGCTCACCACGCCCCCCTGCTACCAAAGTGTGCTCTGGACAGTCTTCAGTCAAAGGGCCCAGATTTCTATGGGACAGGTGAGTGGTGGAGAGGTGAGGCAGAAGCACTGTTGTACCCTGAGCCTGTCCCACTCCTGAGTGACGCTTCTCCCCTAACCCCACTCCTCTATTCCTCAGCTGGAAAAGCTTCAGGGAACGCTGTTCTCCACAGAGAAGGAACCCTCTACGCTCCTGGTACAGAACTACCGAGTTCCCCAGGCCCTCAATCAGCGGACAGTCTTGGCTTCTTTCATCCAAGGTGACTGCACAGGGCTCGGAAAGGAGATGGGAAGCTGGGGGACTCAACGACAGGAACTGGGGAGCCCCTGGGAAGGAAAAGAAGGCTAAGAGGGGAAGGGTTTCCAGGACTTGCTTGGACTGGGAACCAGTCCCCAGCCCCGAGTGGCCAGGTGACTTCCCCAGCATAGAGGCACAGTGTGCTGCTCTCAGCTTGGATGGGATCTGAAGTCCCACTGACCTGTTTTCTCCCCTTACAGCGGAATCCATGTATACCACAGGTAAGACAGCCTCCTCGGGTATGGGGTGGGGGGTGGGGGTGCTAGGGGGCCGGCCTCCATGAGCACAAGGGCAAGGCCCAATGTCTACGGTGGTCCTAGGCTGACACCTTCCATCTTTCTCCCAGGTGAAAAGCTGAGCATAGGGGCGGGAATCTTGGCTAGCTGTCTCTGCCTTCTGCTGGCTGTTTATTTCATCGCTAGGAAGATTCGGTGAGATCCTACTTTCCATTCCTCTAGTCCTTTCTTTTCTCCTGAAAAGCATTCTCCTATCCCACTTCTCATCCGTCTCACCTAGGACACTAGTCACGTCCATGGACCATTTCCCCCATCCAGGAAGAAGATGCTGCGAAATCAGAAGAATGTGGTTTTCACCTCAACACGAACCACGGAGGCATAGACTCCCGCTTGGACATCACGGATGCCTTCCCCTCACGCCTATCAGGGAGCTTTTAGAATGGGGTGCAGGAACTGGCCAGAAAAGACTGTAGGAGTAGCAGGCAGACACCACTCCTCCCTCCACACAGCCCCCACAGAGAGGCACGGACAAGCTCTAGTTCAAGGAAGAACAGCTGAGCGTTCGGTCTCTCAAAACATAGAGATCAGGAGAGCCCTACGCTGACAATGCAGAGGACGAACTGTGTTTAGTTGCAAGGGAAGCTGGGAATGTGCCCCAAAGCCCTCCACCCCATCTCCTGTGTCCCTTTCCCTAGATACGAGCAAGACAGCCCCTTAGGAAACAAGGGTTGTTGTTTGGGGGGTTATATTTTTTGCTCAATGTGTAATATTTGGGAATTAAAGTTTCTGATCCCACCTCTGGCCTTACCTTTGGGACTCTTGAGCGTGGGAGAGTTTCTTAATGCCTCAGCTGGTAGAGGTGGGCAAAAGATGGGGGGGGGAAGCAGGGGTGAATAACTCCTTTTATCCCAATCCTGGAGGGGGAAGATCCATTTCTAGAAAATGCTTAACCCCCAGTTTCTGACATGTTACTCCACCAGCCCAGATCTCTGCCCTTGCACAGAAACTAGGCTTACAGGGGATCAGAGATGCCAGGCTAGGAAGGAGGCTGAAAAGACACGTGCGAGGGCACAAATTTCAACGAACACGTCCCCTTCCTTAAAAGCCAAGTTCCCCCACAATTATAAAGTCCTTTTTATTAGTCAAAATCACAATCACCTTGATTAAAAGGATGGGACACGCCATCCTCAGCAGAAAATGATACAGTTTATAGAAAACCTTCCCGCCCCTCCCCCAACACACCCCAATTAAAAACTAGAAAAAAATCTGCCCTCCTTCCCTGCGATGTCATGGTGGGCTGACTCCTCCAGTGGCACTAGAGCTCTAGAGTGGGCTAGCTCACCGCAGCACCCTCCACTTCACCTTGGGGAGAGGAGGGGTGCTGGTGGTCAAGGAGGTGAAAATATTAGTTCCAGTAATACCAGTTCCCAAACATGCACTTCCTTCCTTTCCCTCAAGGCCCGGGACCATGGGGAAAGGTGGACAGATATGAGCCCAGCCATGAGGAGTGATTTGAGGAGGGAAAATAGAGTCCAAGGAGAAGAAGTCCAACATATCCTCCCTCCCTCCACTCCAAAAAAAAAAAAAAAGGCAGTTTGGGGTCTCCATCACACCAAAAATGGTTCCCCTCAGACCTGAGAAAAAGACCAAGATGTCCAGTCTGGGGAAGGGGTACTGGGAAACTCAGAGCTCGTCTACCCTGGAGGCCCCATTAAGTTCATCTTCATGGCAATGGCTACGCTAGGCCCCTTTTCTTGGCAACCTGCACTGTCCAGAACTGGAGATGGAGAAATACAGGACGAGGAGATCAGGGGAGCACCCCAGGCACAGGGGTCCCGCCCCCAGGTTCCCTCAATCCTCGGGTGGGATGCGCAGGGCAGAATACACCATCACCTGACTGTCCTCCTGCCGTCGGCCTGCAGAGGGGAAGGGAGGTGAGTCTTGCGCAGGGTGAGAGCAGAGCACTGACACATGGGAAGTCCTGGATAACAAGGGGGTCCCCAGATGGTGGGGACAAGTGCAGATTCAAACCCACCAGTCACTGACTGGCTCAACCCAGGCTGCTCCTGGTAAAGCCTAAAGGTCACCAGAGGACAAAGCAAAACCCTGAAGGTGGTGGGAAAGACCGACGAGGAGACAGAGAATGGTGAACAATGGACCCGGGCTGGGGCTGGACTCAGTCATGGGCAGTGGGCACACAGGTGGGGTCTGTCAGGTGATCGGTCCAGGTAGTCAGTCCTTACACGAGAGGCTGCGCTGGATACCTCGGAGGGACCCTCCAGCTGTGATGAAGGCCCAGAGCCCCATGGAAACAGTGACTGCATAGATGGGCAGCAGGCTGGCTTCATACCACGGGTTCAGGAATGTCTGAGAATGGGGGGTAAGAGTAGAAACGAGGTTAGATTCTCCCTCTGCCTAATCCCGTACCCTCTTTGTGCCTTTGACCCAAACCTCCCCCAGAGACCTCACTCAAATCCCCCCTGTTCTTCCTTTCAGACTCCCAACACCTTGTGGTTAAGGGGACTTTTGATTTTCAGCTCCCTTAAGTGCCTGCTCCCCTCAGGCCATCTGCATGACAGTCTGACCCATTCAAACTCCTCCCCAGAGCAGGTTATACAACTGATGCTGAAGTGAGAGCCCTCTAAAGACTCACCTTTCTGCCTCCTCTCACAGTAAGTTTTAAAAGGTTAAGAAGTGAGGATAGGTTTCCCCTCCATCCCACTCGCCATTAAATTCTCTTCTAACTCAGGCACCTGTCCCCAACTCACCAGTCCTGATGTCAGTAGGTGACTCCCAACCACCAGGCCCAAAGTCCAGTACCGTTTCCTCTCACAAGCATCAAAGAACACAACTCCCCAAAAGGTATGAAGCAGGATGATGGCTGCGGTCAGAAAGGCTGCAGGGAGATGGGGAGGAGATACATCTTTCACCTTCTCCCTGCCTCCTGAGATGTTGGGCCAGAGATGTCTCCCAGGGACGGCCAATAAATCAATCAGGGCCAGAGATGGGTGGGGCAGGAAGGCACGAGAGGACTGGGTCTTACCAGAAGTCAGGAAGTAATAGGGTGAGTCTCCATGGATCCCAACCACACCTGGCCCAAGTGCATCGGCCAAAATATTGATAACAGAGAAGACACCACTGATGATACCGAAGGAAAGACCAGAAACTGGGGGGAGGGAGGGTCTCATCAATGTCAGAGATCACTACAGCCTGATCCCCAGTGATCCCTCCCCACTTTCCCAGCCACAGTTCCCCCACACCTACTCTCCCTCCAGACCACCTCTCCTTGGAAGTCAGGTATGAAGGAAAGCAAGGAGCCACTTAGAGCCCGTGGATGTTCAGAGACTTCTCTGGGAGAGGAGGGTGTCCGTCCCCCTCCTCCAGTCCTTCTCCCTTGGCTCACCATAGGCCATCTGGCGGATGGAGATGGGCGATCTCCCGTCCTCACTCAGCGATGCTAACCCCTCATCTGCCTTCCTGGGGGGGTGGGGGGTGGGGGGAAACATGAGGCAGGAATGCTCCTTTCCCCCAAGGGCCTCCCTTAGTGCCTCCTCTTCCAAACCACCACCCAGGGGCCGCCCCACTTCTCATAGTGCGGTCCTCTGCCCTTCTCCCCTCCAGACCAACATCCATCCTCTTACTTAAGCAGCTTGTAGTAGGCAAAGCGGAACACTTCCTGTAGAAGGACGGAGACGGCAGCACCAAAAATCAGGAGGCCATACTGGAGCCGGGCATCTGATGAGTCAGTCACATGGACCAAGATGAACCAGACCACTGAGGCCAAGAGCAGAGAGACTAGCCAGAAAAACGCCCTGAGGAAAGAAAAGGACAATCAGACAGGCAAGGGTACAGGCCGCCGGAGAAGTCCAGCAGGAGAACCAACCAAGGCTGCAGCATGAAAAAGTGGAAGTTAGACTTCCGGATGGTCAGGGAGACAGGGAGCAGACAGGATAGGCGCCTCCACCAAGGGAGTCTGCAGGGGTCTGGACGCAGTGGGTGGGGTAGAACTCTGATTAGAGTTTTCTGAGCGATGAGACTCGGTGTGCACGAGCCCAGTAGAGCGAGGTATCCATTCCTGGATCCTCCCTTAGGGTCGCGGGAGGTCACCACAGCCCCCTCCCGAGCCTTGGCCTTGGGCCTCCTCTGACGTCGCCGGAAGAAGTATAGAAGGAATCTGTGCGATCCCTAGGAGGCGGAAACCAACTGCGGGAAAGGGCAAATCACCCCAACCCCTGAGTCGACCCTTTCCAATCTTCACCTCCCACTTGTCTCCCCCAACCCAGACTCCCAAGCTCGCCCCCGTTCCTCCAGCCCCTTCCGGATCGCTCTCTCTCTTCGGCGCCCTCCTGCGTCTCCCTGACCCCTACTCACCCTGCGACCAGGATGATGACACGAAGAGGGTCTCCGGCCACAGTGATCAAGAACAGCGCAAAGGCCGGGCCGAAAGCGACAAAAGTGCACCCGAAAAACACGGCGGCCCCCATTGCTTGGCAGCTGGGGGCGGAGTGGAGGCCTGGCCAAGAGAGGCGAATGGGAGCAACACGCCAGCTAGGGGGTCCACGTGGGGTGGCGACGCGACCCCGTGAGGGGCGCGGTGCAATGTCACCCCCGGACCCCGGGGAAGGGGAAGGGGGGGCACCGAAACCCCAAATACAGGTCCGCGCGACTTCCTCTACGGAAGCCGAGGAGGGGACAAACCCCGGCCGCAGCCCTTTGGCCACCTCCCATTTAATCCCCACCCCCGAAGGCCAATGGAGAATCGGTGGGGTGGAGCTGCGGAGGCAGGGGGGCGTGGCTGCAGGGCCTGCTGGGAGTTGTAGTCCGCCTGCGTTCCTAAAGCCCTCGGCCTCGGTCCTGGGAGTGGCTCGAGGCGGTTAAAGGGAATTGGCCCGGAATAGGGCACGGGTTCCCGGGTTCGGTTGGGGCTTGGCCGCGGTTTTCATTATTTGGTGGAGAAGGGTGGTAGCAATCCTACCTCTACTTGAAGAGTTGCCGAGGGGGGAAGATCCTGTGGGAACCTAAGGGACAAATAGGAAGAAAGCACAGGATAGAGGCTGCGGGGAGATAGGGACGGGTATTGTTCTTATTTGAATGAGAGGAAATGGGAGCTACTGCCTAAGAGATGAAGGTTAGACTTAACAGTAGGAGCTCTTTGAACAGGCAACACAGTATATCGCTAATGAAGCCTTCATCTGTAATGACAAGAGAATCAGAGAAGGAAGAGGAGCCTGAGGAGCAATAATAGGAAGGAGGTTAGAGGGAATTCGGAGTTCAAATGGTTTGTAAAAAGCAATTAGAACGATGGGGTTAAGGGAAAACAAGCCCCTCCTCCCTTCCCAAGTCACTCAATTCCTTTTATGTCATACTTCCTCTATTTCTTTTCTGAAAATGAATCTGTGTTGTCTTTTTTTTCCCCCCTAAGGCTGGGAAAGCCTTACATGTTACATGTTACATGTTAGAGTGAAAAAAAGTTCAAGTAGGAAAGGAGGGTATTGTACCCTCATTTGGGTGGGGGTGGAGCTGGTCCTTAGGGAGGACGTTTAGGCAAAAGTACCAGGATGGGAAAGTGAAGGAATCTGCAGTATTGTTTCTGAGAGAGTAACAAACCACCAAAAAACTGTAGAAATTGTTCAAGGAGAACCAACCATATCTCCTTTCCTTCCTGGAAGTGGTTTATGTTTCAATGCACATGTGTATCTCCACCAAAGTATTTCACATTTTTCCCCCTCAGGAAATTCTGGAAAGGAGCTGAAGGAATACATAGTATATACATTTACATGAAAAGTCACCGAGCATTTCTTTCCCAATCAAACTGAGAGGGTGGGAGCATCCTGGCCAATGCTCATGACTCTTAAGTCTTGCTTCTGATCCTAGCAGGTAGAGTCAGGGGAAGAAGAGATGGAGATAAGACAACTCTTCCCATCTCTCCTTTGAGCTATTACCACAGCATCTTTTGATGGATGAGAGCAGGCGCCAAACCTATCTTGTTCATGAGGGGCTCCAACGGAGACCTGCGTAGCGCCTGGCTCCTAGTAGATGTTGAAAGATATTTATTAACTATATTCTTTTCTTATTCCCTTGCCCGTGAACCCTGAATTGCCTATCAGACTAGGCCTAGCACACCATGCATAGCGCATAGGTTACTAAATGTTTCTGAACTGACTCCCATGAAAATGGGAAATATAAAAACAGAGGAAAAGATAAGCTGAACTCCACCCCTGTGGGCTGGAATGAAAGAAATACACCAAGTGACTAAAGCGGGAGAAGAGGTGTGGCATGTATACGACAGGGAAAGAGACATCTGCTTTCTCCCTTCTTTCATCCCATTTCCAGAAAGTTGAGAAAGAGGTGAGGTGAGGTCAGTACTTACCAGAGAGGAAATAACTAGCTTTGGCTGAGAGATTTTTATCAGAAGCAATGTAGCAGGTGCTTTGAGAGTCAGGCAATGATGTTGATGTTGCTCCCATGCGTCACAGTCTAAGACAGGCAGCGAAGAGAAACTATTTTCAGTCTAGAAAATGCTCATCCCTCCACAGAACATTTCAACTGTGACCAAAGAGATTGTGATTAAGCCTCAAAGAGAAGGGCAACTCTGGGTGGTGATGGTAACTTAGGGACAGCGAGAGGGAGGGTGAGCTTTTGGTGAGGATTGGGAGAGAGGGAAGGTGAGGAGGGAGAGGACTTACTGAAAGAAGCTCCTTAGTAGGCTGGGGTGGTGTGTGTTTGGGGGAGGGGGGTTGTACTTTTGTTGTGGTTGTTTTCTTTAGTGGCAGTGAGAATCCTGAATGGATCTAATCTAGGGATGGGGCAGCTCAATGTACAAGTTCTCATTGCCTCTCTTAATCTGAACATCTCTGACTGAGGACAAGACCGTAGTAACTGATGATCTAGTGAGTGAGTGAGTGGGAGGAGAAATCTACCCCCCTGAGAAAAGAGTTGCTGCAGCTCCCTCCCTGCTCTGGAGGAGGGTCAGAGGCGGGGTAAGTTTGATGGGAAACGCTGTAATTTCCTTTTTTACTTTCACAGCAATAGTACAGCATCCAGAATGGATGTCCTCTTTGTGGCCGTCCTTGCTGTGCCACTTATCCTGGGTAAGTTCACGCCTCTCCCTGAGCTTTGGGGCCAGGTCTTCTACCATAAATGGGGCGGGAGAAAAGAAAATGAAGAGTTGGCCGAGAGGTGCAGTTCAATGGAGAGTGATAACACTCGCTCATCTGTGCTCGAGTCCAGTGTTGGGGGCGGAGAGAGGCCTGAAAAGCAGAGCCAGGAAACGGGGAGGAAAGCAGAGTCCTGTCAAAGAAGGGACAGCTGATGGGATGGAGCCCCAGACCTGGGGAGGTCCTAACGAGAGTGAACTCAGCTCTCCATCACCACAGAGTTGAACAAGATGAAGAATGACTAATGTGAGAGTGAAGGAGCGAGGTGGCCTCCTTGAAGATGAGGCAGTCTGAAACTAGTGAGGGAAACCAGAGACTTAGAGGAAAAAAACACTCGATTAGTAAAGACACCAAAGGGGGGGGGGTGACCGTTAGGGGAGTGAAGAGCTGGCTGCCTTCAGGGACAGGGTTCAAAAAGTAGTGTGGCTTCTTCCCTCCTTTGTTCCCGGTCTGCCAGGTGTTCTCATTGTTTCTTTTCCTCCAGATTCTTGGGTCACTGCTTGTGGTTAAGGGAGAGCATTCACAGAGCTTAGGGAAACTTTTAGCAGGAGGCCTACCGTTCTTGATCCAATCATATCAAAGCTACATATTTTTAGTCCTAGGAAGGAAAAAAAAAAAACGAATGCAGATGGATCACATAGTCCAGCTGACTCATTTTTAGAAAACAGATGTAAACTGGCTTGTTTGGAGTTATTCCGCTAGTTAGCAGTGAAACACACACACACACACACACACACACACAACCCCAAATAATCCCCAAGCCAAAAGCCTCAGAGCGTGTGCATGTTTATTTGAGAGACACTTATAAGGGAAGATATCTCATAAGTACAGTATGGTCTAGAGCATACCGAATAGATATGGAGTTCTTAATTCCTGCTTCCTTTTTTTAGGTTTAGTTCTTGTTTGGGGTTTACAGTATGTGAAGGGACCTGTTTTCTGTTCTGGGAGTCGCCAGATTGAAAGGGCAAGAGTAACAGGCCTCATCCATCACAGATTTGGAGCCCAGAAGACTAAGAAGGGTTTAGAGGTGCAGAGACATGGAGACAGTCTGACCCTCAGAGGGGAGGCAGAGAGAAAGGAAACTGATAGATCTGAGGTCAACCTCAGGTGTCCTTCTTTGCTAAGGAGTTCCAGATGACCCTTGACTTCTAATCCTTGTCCCCATAGGACAAGGATATGAGGATGAAGAAGGACTGGAAGAGGATGATTATTATCAGGTGATCTATTATCTCAATTACACAGTCACCCCCAGTTATGGTGAGTATGTATAGGGCTCTGATGCTTAGCAGGATGGAGAGAGGTTGGGGGATCCATTGGCTTTCCCTTTGCAGTGGAGCAACTGGGTCAGGGAGAAATTTGGCCACGAGCAAAGACTATCAAGGATCAGGATGTTATTGCTCAAGCCAGCGATTTTTAATTCTCTGGAAACTAGTTGAAACAATTGTAAATTATTTTAGATACTAGATTGAAAATATAAATGCATATACATTCATAAACATTTTTCACATTAAAGTTCATTAGAGTTAGATTATACCAGTAAATTATTGGGGAACAGTGCGTTTTTCCCAGGTCCCATCAGCTCCAAGTCAAGTTGTTGTCCTTTAATCTTAGTTGTGTAGGGCACAGCTCAGCTCCAAGTCCAGTTGCCGTTTTCAATCTAGTTGTGGGGGGCACAGCCCACCATCCCATGCGGGAGTCGAACCGGCAATCTTGTTGTTAAGAGCATGCTCTCAAACCAACTGAGCCATCAGGTGGGCAACCTTGTTGTTAAGAGCACACGCTCTAACCAACTGAGCCATCCGGCCGTCCACTGGACCACACACTGGCAGCTCAGCGCACATCATTGTCTTCAATCTAGTTGTGGAGGGCGCAGCTCACTGGCCCATGTGGGAATCGAACCGGCAACCCTGTTGCTCAGAGCTCGTGCTTTAGCCGACTGAGCCACCCGCCCACCCCCTGAATCATTTCTTTCTATTCTCATTTCTATATTTAGTAATAACTTTCACTTTTTTACTATTGATTCATTTCTCCTCCCCAGATGACTTTGGTGCAAATTTCACTATTGATTACTCCATGTTTGAAGCAGAGGACAATCTGGTGAGTGACATCTGCAAGGATCAGGATAGGTAACAGTTAAAAAGAAACTGGGCAATGTTGAAACTGTAAGTAATTAGCAGAAATAAAAATGAATTAGGTAAAGTGAAACAAGACAATGGGCCAAAAATAGGCCTGTTTACCATAGCGGGGGAGGAGAATGAAGCCAGAATCCGGTAGGTTTGCTAAGACACTGACACAAATAGCTTTTGTCTTGAGTCAAGGAAATGGGTGAATCCGATGTGTACATAATCCATGCAAACGTAAGGTAGGGAGGATCTCTGAGCTTACATCTTGGGGGTGGGGAGGCAGGAGAGGTGAAGGAGAGAAGAACTCTAGAGAATCTATGAGGATGTTGGATGGAGGCGATGATAACTCTGTTTCCTAATCCTACTGAGGGCAGAACAGGTTCGATAAGGAGTTAATGGAAACAGAAGAGACTACTACCAGTCGTGAAATAGAACATGCAGACCATCAGAAGCCTGTAACAGTGAAACCAGTGAAACCAGTGACAATGGAAACAGTGAGTTAATTGGGGACAAGGGGGAAGGGGGAGGGGACATCCCTTACCCTGGCTAGACCCCAGAGCTGGTGACATGAAACAGAGGGAGAACTGGAGAACACCTGTATTGCATTGCAGGTGTTCCTCTCACCTTGGCCATCATTTCTTTCACTGAGATTTAATACTAATCCTGTACACAGAACACTGGGTAGATTTTGGTGCAGTTAAATTTCAGTTCAATAGTACTTAATGTGTATGTAACCCATGCCTAAAGCTGCTACAGATGCTGATGACAAAAAAGAAATCTATGATGTGGTTATTGCCCTCAAAGTATTTCTAAAAGTCAAGTTTACAAGTTATGAAACACTTAGAACAAAAGGTTTGTAACAATGTGAAATTACATATAAATTTGAGAGCATATGACACAGACAAGTGGAAGGAGAGAGATCAGTACAGAAGTTTCTGGAAGACTTAGAAGGTGATTGTGCTTGAGATATACTTAGGACAGGTGAGCTTTTGATTGGCGGTATGTTATGAAAGGATGAAAGCAGTTAGGAGGAAGAATAATTATCCCAAGAGTGAAAGAGCTGCCTAGAAGAGGGGGATAGAAATAGGAAGACATGTTTTGTGGATGGGCTATGATGGAAGGAGAGGGTATATGAAAAGGAACAGTGGGAAATTAAGAAAAAAAAATTTACAAGGCTCCTAATGTTTGCTTGGCAATTTCACATACGGGAAGATAGGGTGAAATTACAGAGTCTGAAGTTTGGACTTATAATGGGGAAGCTAGTAAGTTCTTCGGGGTGGTAAAGACACAATGAAAGTGGTATTTCAGAAAAACTTTGTCTGGTTCTATGCAGTAACTGTTGGAATGGAGCGAGATTCACATCATTTCCAAAACAATCCATTAAAGATCTGTTCTAGGGCAGTGGCATTTTGAAGGGAGAGGAGAAAAATAAGAAGTATTTTCTCAGTTATTAAAAAAAAAAAGAAATCTTACCATTTCAACATGGATGAACCTAGAGGGTATTATGCTAAGTGAGATGAGTCAGACAGAAAAAAGACAAATACCATATGATCTCACTTATATGTGGAATCTGAAGAACAAAATAAACAAAACAAAACAAACAAAAGAAAAAAACAGAGAAAATATTTTGAAGAAAATACATTGTTTCAGTGGTAATTTCATATGAGCCCTAAATGAGGAGAAAATTAAAATAACTTATAAATTTTGGGGTGGCCGGGTGGCTCAGTTGGTTAGAACTCGAGCTCTGAGCAACAGGGTTGCTGGTTCGATTCCCACATGGGCCAATGAGCTGCGCCCTCCACAACTAGACTGAAGACAACAACGAGCTGAGCTGCCAGTGGGCAGCCAGATGGCTCAATTGGTTAGAGCTCGTACTCTGAGCAACAAGGTTGCTGGTTCAATTCCTACATGGGATGGTGGGCTGTGACCCCCGCAACTAAATTGAAAACAGTGACTGGACTTGGAGCTCAGGATTCAAACAATGACTTGGAGCTGATGGGTCCTGGAGAAACCCACTTCCCCAATAATCCCCAATAAAAATGTTAAAACAAACAAACAAACAAACAAACAAAAATAACATAAGTGTTTACATGGATGTCTGGGGAAATGGTTGACCAAAATGGGAAGTATATGGGAAGTGTGGGAGGTTAGGGTGATTTAAGAAGGAAGTTACAAATTTGGTAATGGCCAAGCTGAATTTATGGAGACAGCCTTATGAGGCTGTCCGAAAGGTAGGGGAACTAGGCCAAGGCTACACTTCTAAGTGCAAAGTCACAGTTATGAAAGCTGATGAGTGCAGTAGAGCCAGTACACACAGAAGACCGAAAGGCCATGCCTGTGCTTATAGTTAGTAGAAGGAGAAAGAGAAATCAACCAAGAAAATCTGGAGAAGAATTAATTGGAGTGGTAGGCAGACAGCCAACTTTGTATTATACAGAGTCTAGAAGAGAACGTTTAATAGAAGCTACAAGAGGCCAAGGAGATTATTGGTAACCCCCCAAAAAGCAGTTTTAATTGAGTGGTTTGAGCAAAAGCTAGATTTTTTGGAGTCAGAGAGGGAGTGCATTGTGAAGAAGAGTATAGACCAACCATTTGTGAAATCTGGTGATGAAAAAAGAGAAGCAACTGCTAGAAAGGACAACAGGACCAAAGTGCAGCCTGAATATAGTTGAACACAGATGGGAGGAGTCAGTAGGAATGGAAAGCTGGTGATTGACAAGACAGAGAAGTATTTTAAAGTATACTCGTACAGTAGGCTTCCTTTAGATTGTAAACTCCTTGAGTGCAAGCCATGTCTTAATCATATTTCTATCCCCCCATATAATGTATAGTATAGTGTCATGCACATAACAGATAAAAAATACATTTTGCATTGAGTGGGGCCTCCTGGGTACGGTCAGGAATGGCTGAAAGGCACAGAAGAAAGACCTCTTTATGGTGATGGGGAGGAGGGCTGGATCTTTAAGCTCAGAGGAAAGAAGACAAAGGTTGGTATAAATAGATGGCTATCCTTCCATAGGGGGAGGCGGGCAGTAGGAAGGCTGACACTGGCATACTGTGGGGGCATGTCTGTATTCTAGCAGAGTCCAGATATGAACGATGCTGCATCCGGTCTGCAGAGTCCTGTTCTCCTTCTCCTGTTCTGGGCCCTGGTTAAGGGCTGGATGTATTTCATGTAGAAGGTGAGTGCAGCCACTGGCCTGGGAGTCTGTGAAGCAACTTTTACCACTGTCTCTGGCTAGTGTTTCCAGCCTGGTCAATGCTCAGCTGCTTAAAAGAAGGGGGATCACATTGAGACAAATCTTATTATCCACATTTAAGGAAGTTTAGGAGATGTGGAGGCAAAGACTTTTGTAGTAAGAGTCATTACTTTTGCTGAACTGGGGGATTTCAGGACCTCCTAGAGCAGAAGCAGTGGAATGGAGAAGAAACCTTCTCCAGGTTTCCAGTCTGCCTTAAGGAATCAAAGCTGGTTCCAGCCCGGCAGTGGTTTAAGGCAAGGCAGGTGCCAGAGGGCAAAATGGGAGGGGCCCTATAACCTGACAAGAGTCAAGAGGCAAAGTTCAGAGGCAGAAGGGGTGGCGGTTCCCTAATGTAGGGGAGAGGTGGTGGGGGAAAGGAGGGCATAGAAACCTGTATTATAGGGAAGGGATTGAAGCTGGGATTCTAAATAACTATGGAGCTTTAAGAGATTTAGCAGAAAGTCGTGAAGAGGGGAGGGGACGCATCTTCCAGGAGATGTCATAGGAAAATCTAGCTCAGTATGGGGAGTTTTCATACAGGTGGGGGGCATGGAGGGGTTTCCTGAGTCCCCTGAACCTGGTTGTTATTGTTTTTCCCTTTCTTTGCTTTCTTAGGAGAAAGAAGGCTGCTATGACTCTTTGGATGGGGATTTGGGAAGAGGAAATTGGAAGATAAAGTAAATAAATGAAACAATCTGGTTACTCTCTACTCCTTCATGAGGGTCTGTTCAAGAAAGCCACAGCACTAAAGAGAACACCAGGGTATGGGGGTGGGAAGGATGGATTAGAAAGGGAGTCAGGTGACAGTAGTATTAGAGGGAATTATTCGGCCTGAATAAACCTGAAATTTTGGGAAGAATGGAGAAAAGCACCCACAGACAACAGGTTTATTCACAGTTCATAATTCCCTATAATTCTACTGTTTTATTATATATGGTGTTGAAATTGTTTGGGGAAAGTGTTTAAGTTTATTTAGAACAGTTTTTTTTCTTGTTATAAAATAAGCACATTGTTAAACATGTGAAATATTAAAAATACTTAGAATAGATTTAAAAAGTTCACACCCTCCTCCACTTACCCCTCCCACCCCAAACAACGTGCCTTTTCCAGTTAGTAATTACGGTAGGCAGAGACGTACTTTAAAAAAATTTTTTTCCCTCTATCCTCGGGACCCTGATCAGAACTGGGCTGCCCCCTTGCGGTCTCTTCGATGTCACAGCTTCAATCAGCCTACGGTCCCTGAACCCCTATCCCCTTTCAATACTGCAAGGGGCAGCGAATAGTAAAACTCCGGACTTGCCACCTTCCCTCCTTCAAAGCCTTTCGAATATTCTCCAGGGACAAATGAAGAAAGTGAAGCTGAACAAAAGCATAACCTTAGGTGATAAGGACCCCACACACACACTTCCCCCCACCCCCCGCCCAACTCCTATCCCTGCGCTAGATCACAAAATTCAGGACATAGAGCCCGAGGAGCCCGCGGTAGAAAAGTCAGAAACAACCGAGTTCGGCTTTGACCTCTAGAGTGGCGGGCTGGCATCTGAGCTGATAACGTGCGTGGCGGGTTATGTAAGGAAAGGGCTGGAGGAGCCGCCCCAGCGGGAGCCCGGGACAGGACGCGGTGTTCTCGGCGGCAGTCCCCACCCTCCTCACCCAGCAGGGCAGGAGGCACCCAACTTGTAGGAGAAGGAGGAGGAGGGGAGGATGAAACAGACTGGGGAGTCACGAGGGCTGGGCCACCGAGAGAGGGAGACGATACACGGTGGCACGCATCCGTTCTCCCACACACGTTGCAGATGCAAGTCGCTGATGGTTCCACGTGCTGCACTCGTGAGAGGAAGTGCTCAAAGAGGGGGCCAGAGGGGTCGGCTCGCGAGGAAGAGCCAGGAGCCCCACATCTCGAAGCGCGCGCCTCAGGTCACACAGCCAGTCTGCACACTCTCACCGCGCGTCTCCGGCGCACCACCATCCTATTTAAGGCCATGGGTTCCGCCCTCTTCCTCCCGTCCCTTCTTTTCCACTCTTTTTCCATCCTCCTCCTTTCTCATCACCGGGTCCTCTTCTCCAGCCGCATGTAGGGGCGGAGCACGGAATGCTGCCCTTCCAGCCAATCGTCACCTGACTGCCTCTCATTGGCCGGGCCCCTGTATGCTGTAGCAAATGGGACCTGAACTTCAGTAACGACGGTCACGTGCCACCGGCTAGACGACCAATGAGAGTGCGAGGTCTGTGTTCGCAGGGGGAAGGCACGTGCGGAGCCTCACGTGTCTGGGAGGGGGAAGGGGCGGGACCCAGTGTGAGAGAGGCGGACGTGGGTAGCCTAGACCCGGAGAGTCTGAGCCGAAGCTGGAGACAGCCTGGGCTGAGCCGATCGACAAAGGTGAGGAGACTCGGAGGCCGGTGAGCGGTCCGCGCGGGAGAATCAGCCCCGGAGACAGTGGGTTTAGGGACTTCTTGGTATTGGGGGCTGGGAATCACGCGGCTGGGCGAGCGGAGAGGGTCCCGAGCAGGGATCCTGATGGAAAGACTGGGAAGAAGTGGGAGGGCTCTGTGGGAGGCGGTTCCTGCAGAGTCACTAGGTGGGTTCGGGTGCCGGAGATTTTAAGGCTCACGGGTGGCGTGACCTCAGGTAGAGAGAGAGGCTCGCTGCGGGATCAGGTTGGGAGCAAACCAGGGGAACAGCGGTCGGACCGGGGAAGGTGTTAGGTCAAGTATTTACTCTGGAGCGAGGGGAAGAAGGAACAGGGTCCAGGCCAGAGAGGCAGTCCGAGGTCCTTAAAGGAGGCCGAGAGGCGGGGGAGATGGCTTTTTCTATTGTCTCTGACACAGGCAATATTGGGGAGGGAGAGAGGAGATACGATTATGCCGTACAGTACACCCCAGTCTCCCAGTCTGTTTCCTGATTCTCAAATTCTGGTTTCAAACTCCTTCGCTTTGCTCTTCAGTTGCAGGTCCGATCTTTGAGTACCTCAGGAGCTGCTCGTCAGCCCCTGCTTCTGAGCCTATGGATTCTCCATCTAGCGTTTCTTCCTGTTCTTCCTACTCTCTCTCTTCCTCATTTTCCACCTCCCCAGTGAACAGTGACTTTGGCTTCCCCTCCGATAGTGAGGGGGAGGGAATGGGGGCCCATGGCCCCAGGCCAGACACTATTAGGCCGAGGGGAGGTTCTCGGCCCAGCCCCGGTCCAATCCGTCACAGGCGGAGACCCAAGGTTTCCAGTATCCAACAGACAGCATCTCACTCGGAACAGCGGGGCTTGGCTTTTCCTATGGCCGGATCTGGGGTCAAAAGATCAAAAGATCGTGAATTGGAGACCAGTCTCAACATTCAGGGTTGTACCACAGAAGGAGACCTGCTCTTTGCTCAGAAGGTAAGAGGAAGCTGGGGAAAGGAGATGCTACTGGCGTGCGTTAGCACCCAGCGGGTTGGTCAGGACCCTGTGAAGATAGTATTGGCTCACAGATTTGGAGGCGGAGGAAAAATCAACCAGCACTGGCGTGGGCCGTGTTCCGGCTTCTCATAGGCTGTGTCCTGCTTTCTTACAGTGTAAAGAGCTCCAGGGATTCATACGCCCTCTCACAGACCTACTGAATGGGCTGAAGATGGGTCGTTTCGAGAGAGGTAATTATCTGATTAGTTACATTCATCTGAACTAGATTCATACCTATATCTCTCTATTCCCCCCCCCCGCCCCCTCTTCCCTCTCTTTTAAAATATGTTTTAAATGTATATTTCTCTTTGTTTGGGGCCTGGATTATTCCTTTTTCTCTTCTGTGACTTAATTTTTTTGGGTGAATAAATTTTTAACCCTCTTCTGTCCTTCCTTTACCCGACTAAATTCTTGAATCTCAATCTTTGATCTCTTTCTCTCCACCCCCTCCCCACCCCGACCCCAGGATTGAGCAGTTTCCAGCAGAGTGTCGCAATGGATAGGATCCAGCGGATCGTAGGCGTTTTGCAGAAGCCACAGATGGGGTAAGCCCCCCTGATCCTTTCCTCCGTACTTCATAAAAGAGAAGCCATCGCCAATCCTGTCCTGTTTCTTTTTAAATACTGAATGGCTTTTTTTCAATGTCTTTTTCACAGGGAACGTTATCTAGGAACCCTGCTACAGGTAGAAGGGATGTTAAAGACTTGGTTTCCTCACATAGCTGCCCGGAAGTCATCATCGGGTAGTAGCAGACACCAGCTGACCAAGGTAAGAACTTACAAACCAGAGGAAGAGGTGGGAAAATGACCAAGGGAATGAAGTGTACGTGCAGAAATGGGCCCCCTCTTCCATTTCCTTCTGGGTCTTTTTCCTTCTCAAAAGTTTATTTTTGGGGAAGGAAATGCTGAAACTTCCTTTATGGTCTTGATTCCTTGATGTTTTTTTCTTCTATTTTGTTTGGATCACTGCAAAGAACTCCATGAAGTTTAGTCTTATCCCTCATGTGGCCGCTTATCTGCTTTCTGCATAGATACAGAAGGCTTCTTACCTGGCCAAAAAATTTATGCAGGAAGATGCCTCAGCTTCTCTCTGCAAATCCTTTCTCTTCTGTTGCCCCTAAAATACTTTCCTTCTCCATCTTTTTACTCCTGCCCAAGTATGCTTGTACCATACCCTCTGGAAGCATGGGTTTCAAGGACTGGTCATAAGAAGTATATCACTGGAGGGGTGGAGGGGTAGAGAGAGGAGGACAACCATGGGACAGCCATAGGGGTAGTGTTGGATAGAGTCTTAGACCTAGTGTGGAAGTAGCCTATTTTCCGGGCCTTCAAATAATAAGGTATTTAGGGGGCATTCAAATGATAGGGAGGGGACAGTCTCCTATAGATAATGGACAGTTATCTTGTTTTCAATCAACCACAGTTATTATTGCTGTCAGAATAATCGATGTAAAAATAAGCAGGAGGCTCTTGCCTGCATATTAATTTACACTTCTTAAGGCACTCAACATAGGAAATTAGAATTTGAACTACAGAAATTGGGAAATGATGATTCCAAATAAAAATAGACTTTTAAAAAAGCAATTCTAAACTGAATTATTATATAAGTTGTAAGAACCTATGGGGTTGTTCTATTTTGTGTATGTCTAGATAGCCAGTGCCTAATAATATAGTGTGTGGTACATCATGGGCCCTCAAGTATTTGTTGAATAAATGAAAGCACAATTTGGTTACTGAACCTTTTACTTAATTATGGCCTGGCAGGAAATTATCTGTTGTAGAAAACAAGGCACATTTGCATTGCAAACAGAATTGCCAAGAAAAGCAAAGGTTTAATCCACCAGGTAGAGTTAATCTGAAAGCTTTCTCCTAATTTCTTTTCTCTTTGCTCCCCCTCCCTAGCATTTCCCAAGCCGCCGCAGTTTTCCAACTGCTTCCTCTCCTGCACCGCCTATGGAAAAGATGGACCAGACACAGCTAGGACATGTAGTATTGAAACCAAAGCAGCCGTGGCACCTCCCTGAATGGCCAGCTATGAACCTCACTTGGATCCACACCACTCCAATTTGTAACCCGCCTCTGAGTTCCCAAGGTACCGTCTCCTTTAGCCGTGGTCCTTTAAGCACTGGAACCAGCATTGGTGTCATCCTTCTCGTCCAGCATGGAGAGCAGCCCTTCACCCACTCTGCCCCAACCAGCCCAGCTCCACCTACTACAGCATCTCCCGTCACCCCTGGTGATCCTAAGAAACTATCTGGAGCTGGACCTCGTTGCCACAGTTTGCCAGTAACTCTGCCATCAGACTGGAGCTGTACCCTATCCCCGCCTGATCTACCCACCACAGCCAGAGACATGACCAAGGGACACCTAGAGCCGACAAGAAGCCATCCTCCAGTTGCTCCTGCTTTCCATCCTCTCAACTCCTAATCCAGGACTTGAGACTGTGTTTTCTAATTTGTGTAAATATATGTCTATATATTTTACATTTAATGTGTGCATTTGTGTTGAAAGAAGAGAAATTCTTTCTGATTAAAGAAATTTTATACCAAAACAGTTTGCTGATTGGGGGAAATGGAAATGTTTATTCTCTGAGCTGCAGAAAAGAAGAAAGGGGATGGGAATGTGTGTGAACTAGAGCTCCATCAAGTTAGCAGTCAGGAGTGGACCACATAACTCCTGCGGGAGAGGAAGAGGGACTCGCTGCTGCTGTCTTCCTCGGGAACAGTTCCAGGGCTCAGAGCTGCCTCTGTTGTTTCCATTCAGGCTCAGAGACTAGGACCTTTGCCTTTGTGTGTCTCACTCTTGTAAACATCCAGCTGGCCCAGATTAGCAGGTTCTTCTGCTCTGGGATAGCTCTTTGCCTTGATGGGAGCTGTTGATGCTGGTGGTTATATAAATGCACATGTAATCTGCTGCCAGAGGAGGGACACAAGCCAGAACATGCGCTGTGGTTGCCAGTTTTGAAGAGCAAGGGGTCCCCTAGAACTTCTAAAACGAGGGGATCCCCTCAGACACTGGGTGTCATCCTTAATCAAAAAGCGGCAGCTGCTAAATGGAAGGATACCCAGTGTTATCAGGTGGCAAAAATGAAATCCGTGAATTATCTACACGTATATCTACCCTTCTCCATATAGTACTCTTTCTGATTTGTCCCACTTTCCACCCAAACCATGTCCTCTCCCACCCTAAGCCTGGCAGTGTATCAGGCTACTCAGTCATTTTAGTTACCGCTGATTGGCTACTGAGCATGCTTCTCACAGCTAGTCATACATCGTTCCCTATGTCTCAAGTCCTCTGGTCTCAGTGAACATTGTCCCCTTTTATTTCGGAGAACATGACCTCCTTTCTAAGGCAAACCTCTCCATTGGTGCTTTTGGTTACTTCTCACTTCTGGAACTTTTCCTGTATCACTTATCCCCTCTTTATCTTATAACTTCAATTTCTTATTGAATTATTATTTATGTATTTCTCCTACCCATTTGATCAGGTGCCCCCTTCTTGAAAACCTCTCTTGAGCCCAATTGCCCTCTCTCACCTTTTTGCCATAATTCTAGACAGAGTAGGCTAATCGTACTTTTTCTGACTCCTTTCTACCACTCAGTCCTTAACCTCTTGCAGCCTAGAGGGTACCTGCTATCACTCCACTGCACTTTCCTAAGTCACTAATGAGCTCACAGCTTCAGTATTATAGTGTAGCTTGCACCCAGTCAGTAGCTAGATCCTGGCGCCTTTACCAAGGCTTCGAACTTCATGCTCTCCGTCTCATTCAACACTCGATGCTGCCTTGGAAACTCTCCTCCCTTAGACCCCATGACAGCACACTATCCTAATTCTCCTCTTACCCATCTGGCAACAACTTCCATATTTCTTAATGGCCCCACTTCCGCCCACTCCAGAGTGTGGGTGTTCCCCTAGGCTCAGCTTGGCCCTTTCATCTTCTCTGACTACATTCATTCACTTAAATATTTCACCTCCTTTCATGGCTTTAGTTATTGCCTCAACTCAGAAGACTGCAAAAGCTTCGTCTCTAGTCGCAATCTTTCCCCTGAGATAACATACTGAATGTCTAAATTTCTGATGGACATTTCTATTTACATATTAATACTTAACCTAACTGAAAATTTCAGCGTTTTAGAGCCAAGAGGTACCATTTGTATCTGATTCAACCCCTTCATTTTATAGATGAGGAACCTTAGGTGGCTTGTGCAAGACAACACAATGTGTGATACAGAACTCTTGTTTTCGTCTGGTGTTTTTTCCATCACTCACCAATCAAAATATCTTTCCTTTAAGATGCGCTGTTCTGCCTTTTTACAGTCTCTTTTTTCTTCTGTTAGTGCTGTCTATGGTACCATCATTTTTCCAGACGATGGCTTAAAACTTGGTGTCATTCACTCATTAAATCCTATTTATTCTGTATTTGGAATATCTCTTAAAATCCATTTCTTCCTATCCATTCCATTGCCATCTCTCTGGTGTAAACTTTGACCATAGCAATAGTCTTTCCTACCTTCCCTTCCTATCTGATTATCTAATTTCTCACTGATAATCAGATAAATTTTCCTAGAACAGTGCTTTGCATGTCATTTTCCATTCAAACCCTCCAATGGTTCTCCAGTGTTTTGAGACGAAAGTCCGAAACCTTTAGTCAAGATCTCTATTTCTCCCTCTGCTCTGGAGTGATCCCTCTATTCCAGTTTTCTTATTTGCCCCTGAACCCTGTGAGGCTTTTTGCCTCTGAACTCTGTTCATGCTGTTCACCTTATCCAGTCTTTCCTGCTTCTGTTAACTGAACCCTACCCCTCTTTCAATGACTAACTCAAGTCTTTCTCCCAATTATGCTCTCTGTTCAACGTGATATATAGGCCCTTTACTCCATCGAATGAGATCATGTACATAAAATGACTAGTACAGGGTTTGGTATATAGTAGGCCCTCAGAAATATTACTTTTTTCCCTTCCTTTCTTTCAAGGTATTTTTATAATTTATCCCATTTGATTCGCATGATGAATTTTGTGTGATTGAAGGCAGATATTTGTCCCATGTTACAGATGAGGAAATAGACTGGGAGTTTAGGTCAGGAATCAGCAAGAGCCCGCTAGTAAATATTTTAGGCATTGTGGGCCATATATCTCTGTTGCAACTACCCAACTCTGTCATTAGAGCCCAAAGCAGCCATACCTAATATGTAAACAATTGAGCACAGCTGTGTTCCAATAAAGTTTTACGAGTATTTACAAGAACAGGGATGGAGTTGGATTTGACCTGTAGGCAGTAGTTTGCAGACTACTGGTTTAAGTGACTTATTCAAGGTCAGATGCCTGATAAGTAACAGAATTTGGATAGAATCCAGATCTCCTGACTTCTAATCAAGTGCTTTTCCACCATATTATGCTGTTGCCTATAGAATTTATTTTGCATTTATCACATGCTACGTTGTTTTGCTGTTTACCTTTTATGTCTACATACTGTTTTCTGCTGGTCCAAGAGGCACTGGATGTTATCAAACAGCACCTGACACCCAGTAGGCATTCGATAGAAGTTTGTTGATAAGTGTAATAATGTTCCAGTCTAGCTCTATTTTGGTACTTTTGAACCTGGCTGACTCTGAAGGGGGCTTCAGTTTTTCTGAGTTTTATTAGCATAATTGATGAGGATGCATCTGTGTGTATGTTCCTGTATGTGATTAGGGGAGGTACTCAAAGAATCTTGTTACTTACACAGGTACCCGGTTTCTTCTTTTTGAGCCTTTCCCTACTATTTTCCAGCAGCCACTAGATCTGAACTTAATGTGAATAACCATAAATGGATATGTAGAAGTAACATACGAATAAAAGGAAAGCTGTTTCCACAGTGAGGAAGAAATTTAAAAGGAGCTGTTTCTACTAGATCTCACTAGGAGGCAAATGGGATAAAAGCTGACATAAAAAGAGTCTTCCATTCTAAATCCTGCAGGTGTTTCCAAGTTCTTTATTTAGTGACATGGCTGGGAAGATGATGCTATAGGAAACTCATGGTATGTTCACCTCGCTTCCTTAGTTTTTAGACAATGAGGAAGGTAATGGTGTTTTTCATCCGGTAGAGCAGATCTCAAAGAATCTGTCATTTGCGAAGAGAAAACAAACAGGAAGCTTAGCCTATTTCCCTCACTTTCCTTCCAGAAAAGGAAATGGTTTAAATATCTTAAATATTTAATAGGATTGAGGGGTACAGAATCGGGCTGATCTCAGGAGCCTCAGGACGACGACTCCACCAGAAGGAAAGGAATCCGCGAGGAATTGAAGGCCACGAATATTTCGCTTTGTCAGGTGTAGAGCCCCGGCCCCGGGGTGCGGGCGAGGCGGCTGGAGAGGCCAGCGACCGGGGCCGGAAAGAACGTTGCCATGGTTTCCCCGTAGTTGTTCTCCTTTCAGCCCCGGTTTCTTTGCCGGGTGCTGGCGGCTTACGTATTTCCGCTTCCGGTTGCGGGCGGGCAGCGCGTCGGCGGAGCCTGAGGGCGCGGGGTGAGGAACCCGCGCTGGGGGTGGGGAGAGAGAGGCGGGCCCCTCCGGAGGGCGCGTCTGCGCGGTCGCCCCCCTTCCCAAAGGCCGAGACTCTGTTCCTAACTCCCACCCCAAACCCTCCTGGGGCCGCGAGCGATAATGTGTGTGTTGCGGGGGCGGGCGTGGGGGTGGTCTGCGGCGCGACCCGGTCCTCTCCACGGAGCGCTCCGTGGTGATCGCTGCTACCATCCCTTTGCGTCCCTACGGTAGGGTTTGTATTGGCAAAGAGAACGAGGGAGGCTTGATAACGATTCGCGTGTGGTTTGTAGGATATGAGGACTTCCACGTGCCCCTTATTCCTGAGCACGTTGCATATCCAGACACTGAATAAGCCACGCGACAGGGCGTGTATGCTGTTGTTTCTCTCTCTTACCTGGTCGTTATACTGTCCTCTCCATCATCCTTTAGGTCCTGCAGAGTGAAGACTTAATTCTGAGGTCATGGCAAAACATCTGAAGTTCATTGCCAGGACTGTGATGGTACAGGAAGGGAACGTGGAAGGTGCATACAGGACCCTAAACAGGTAACGGTTAAGGGACCAGAGCCATGGCTAGACCAACTCTCTTGAGAAATGCGGTGGTGATTCTCCCCCTTCCCCTGTCATACGTTGTTCTGAAACCAGTGTCAGCCCAAGTGTTCACAGGCGTGAAACTTCTCAGCCCCTCGATTTACTGTCTTCAAAATGAGGTTCTTCCCCAAACCTAACTGTATGAAGCTTACTCATCACCAATCATCCCTTTGATAATGAACCTGAAATCTATCCAGGACCTCAAATAGAGCCCAAAGGGAAAATCAAGTTATAAATTTGCTTGGAAGCAGGAACATAGTATATGATATATAAAAAGCTGGGATTGGTGTGGGACAAGGTTAATAGAAAAGATGAATTCAGAGTTGGGATCGTGGAGAAACAAGCAAGAGATGGAAGAGCGTTACAAGTTTAGAGGAAGGTTATAGCATAAGCAAAAATTTAAGAGACAGAAGTGAACTGGCTAGAGTGGAGGAGCTGTATTGAAAGATTTTGAATGCCAGGCTAAGAGATTTAGAATGGCCCTGAAAAAGAACATCTTACCACTGTTGTTTCCTCAAACAAATAGTGCCTTAGCCTCCCCATCATCATTAATTGTAAGGATTTTGACTTTCTGGCATGCTTCATTCATCATTTTCTCTGCCCAGTGTGAAGCAGAGTTTGAAGAAACAAAATGCCTGTTGAGTTGAATGATCAAAGAATTGTATGAAAGAGATCTTAAGAGATTATGTGAGGTGGCACTCTGCCTTAAGGCCAGTAAGATGGTAGCTTTATTTCACAAGTAAGGGAAGCCTAGGGAGATTAAATTGTGTTTCTTGGGTCACACAATTATTGAATGGTGGAGGACAAAACACATCTTTCTAGTGCAGTGTTCTTTGCTCTTAAGTTACTAGATTGTTCACTAGTTTCTCTGGAAATGGAGAGACCTATGGCAGTCATTTTCCAGTTGAGAATCCTTATTTGATGGGGTTTATATATTAGTGGGGTTCTCAGGGACTGAGAGGGTAAATGAGAGAGAACCTAGTTCTTAGCAAAGCAAAGAGTTCTAGGTGTGGAGGGCTGGATGGCAGACGACCACAGTAAATGAGGGCAAAGATGCTGTCAGAAGCTGTGTAAATGCAAAGCAGTTGCAGTGTCAGGATGGTTTGTATGTCTTCTAAAAGGATCCGGTCTTGGGCCAGCCCCATTTCCTCATTCTGGGTCTGTGTATGCCAGTCATATCCTTGCTCCCTCTGCATCGTCACTTAACATTGAGAATAAAGGTACTCAGTTAAGCACCAGGTGGTAAGATACCCTGTTTTATTCTTTTCTATTGTTGCTCCTTCCCACCTCGTATTTCAGACCGTCTAGTGGCATGTCTGTGAGAGGGCTGAGATGTCTAAGGACCTTTCTCTGCTCCTATCCTGGAAGCACAAAGTCAGTGTCTTTACAGACTGTGTAGTGAATTAGCTAGTGAGACGAAATGCTGAATTTGGAAAAAGGAAGTCCTGCAGATTACATCACCTTTTTTCTGACTTCTCCCTATAAGTCTTTTTCTGTATGATTTATTTTGGTGGATTTTATCTTCTAGTCAGGGTGTTGGAGATGTTTGTATTATTATTGAGGGATGTCAAAGGCAACTGTTAATTGATGGTAAAAGTAAAATTCAAAGCTCAGTTTTAGCCCCCCTTCTCTCCCCTGTGAAGTGCAGATAACACAAAACCAAGAATAGTATTTAGGAAATCAGCTTACTTTGGACAAAAACCAAGAACAATTTGTGGTGCAGCAAGTAAGGTAAACTTTAATACTTTTGACCAAAGCCACAACCTGAAAATAGGTTTCCTTGCATAAATGAGGCAGCATAACTTAGTGGTTAAGAGCAAACTCAGAAGCTCACTGCCTGGTTCAGACCCCAGCCCTGCCACTTACTAGCTTTATGATCAATGGTAAGCTACTTAATGTGTCTCTGCCTCAGTTTCTTCCTCTGTAAGTGGAGCTCATTATAGTATCCACCTCACAGGGTTGATGTGAGGATTATGTTAACATAATTAAAGTGCTTAGAGCACCACTTGGCACATCTTAGGCATTATGTGTTAGCTATTATCATAATTTGCAAGTTAGTGTAAGGAGGTTTTTACCTTTTTGGTTTTGCTTTGTGGGTAGTTTATTTATTTTGAGACATTGAGAGTTTGCTTTAGCTGTTTTTTTCTCCTGTCTCCCTTGAACATCACGTTATGCTCAAGGTGGCCAGGAGATGAAAAAATAATTAAGCTTATTTTGTCATGAGGGTTCAGCTTGCTGCTGGTATTGGGATGACTTTTCTTACAGGCAGTGATACTTTTCAACCAAGCCTCCTCCGATTTAGCCTGTTGCTAATCTCGCATTGAAATAGCAGCATTTTATTTCCTCTGTATGTATTGTTCTCTATCCCCCATTTCCACTTACAAAAGTTTAAAACCTGAAAAACGAAACGTTTCTAATTTTCTGCCTGAAGGAATTGATCCCTCCACTGATGCCAGGCCTGCAGAAAGCAGACCTTCGGGGATTGAAACACTGATGTAAGGATAGATTTGGGAGGAAACCAATTTACACTGTTTAAAAAGAAAAGAATTTGATCAGAAAGAAGAGGAGTGGTTAGACAGAAAAATAAATGAAGAGATTCAAGTCCCAGAAACTCAGGCCCTGAGGTGTGATACTCTTTTAGGCTTCCTTATGAATTGGGAAAATTTGAACTTGGTGGCTGGGATTAGCTAGGGAAGCAGGACGCGTGGAGGGAGCCAGCTTGGGGCAAGTATTATGGCAGCGATTTTTATAATCTTTGGGGACGATATGTATTTTGTGTCAATTTAGCTTCACTCTTTAGGAAGCTGCATTTCTATTCCTTTTTATCTTGAAGTGTTAGCTCTATATCCCATGAATTATATTTTAGCCTCAGGAAATAAAGTGAACGAATGTTTTGCTCTTAAAATAACTTTCTAGGCAGAGCTTTTAAGCATGCAGATGTGAGCAAACTGGTTCTGGAGTGTCCCAGTCTTCCTGTCTGTCAGAGAGTATTTTCTTTTCTTTTTTTTTTTTAAGATTTTTATTGGGGAATTGGGGGGATGGGAACAGCGCTGAGGAATTGGGGAAAGGGGAACAGACAAGTTGCTGTCCTTTTGTTCTTCAACCTAGTTGTGGAGGACGTTGCTTCACTGGCCCAAGTTGGCACCATCATTGCGCTCTTCCCGGGTGAGGCAGATCAGTCGTTGGCTTCTGGACGGCCACTCACGGAGGCTGCTGGCCGCTCACGCTGGCTGCTGGCTACATACAGTGGCCCATGGCAACCCACTGCCACAGGGGCTGCAGCCTACGCCATCGCCGGCGACTCATGGCCACCCAGCTCCAGGTTGAGCTGTTGTTCAGCATCTTAGCTGTAGAGGGCAGTGTCACTGGCCTTCATGTGGGATCCAAACCGGGGCCCTCTGGCGTCCCAAGCCAGCTCTTAACCAACGCGCCACTCGGCCGGACCAGAGAGTATTTTCTGATGCGCTCTTCTTCATGTCTCTTTCTCTGCTTTTCCCTGATGCCCTCTGCCTGGCCACCTATCTCGCTCAGCTTTCTGATAGTTGGTAGTTTAAAAATAAGTTGCATGTTCTTGTGGTCTAATTACAACAGTAAATAGAAAGTAAATGAGAGGAGAGGGAGGTGGTTAACGCTTTAGCATATTTGGAGTGCCGAGGTAGTCTTACAAAGGAAACAACCTATGTGCCTGCCCGGTGAGACTGCCACAAATTGTTTGTTATATAACCAAGGGCTCTCATTGGTACTCAGGGATGAAGAGATAGAGCGTGGGGGTTGCTAGGAAGCCCTGCATGATTGGCTCGCCCCCAAGCAAGGAAAGGCAAACACACTGGAAGCGTGCCCAGCTGACCCCTTTTATTCCTGGTAGGCGAGCTTCTGGGCCCATTGAGTCCTTCTTCGTACACGTTGGTCCAGATGTAGGCTGGCTTCACTGACATGTGAGTCGGCCACCTCCAACCTCCTCCAGCCCAGGCAGCTTGGCTCCTTTTACATAATCCATTGAATGTCACTAAAACTGGCAGCTGATTTCTCCTTTAGGGTTAGTTGCCAGGAGCCTGAACTCAAGCCTGATCAGTTTACTGTAAAGCTCTTGGTCTGCTAGTCCTTGAACTACCTTTGGAAGCAGAAGCATCACCCTCTCTATTTACTTCATGAGTTCTAAAAAGCTCTTCCTGCATCCTTTTTATTAGAAATGTGTTGAAGCGATGCCTCTGCTGTAGGGACTCTGGCCCATGAGAAGATAATCTGTGCTTTTTTAGGATAACTAGAAAGTGCAGAGTAAGGGAGCAAATCCCCACCTGGCATCTTGGAATGTATTTGGTCTGTGTTCTGTTGGGTTGTCAGAAAAGCCATGATGTATTTTTTCTGTTTTTCAAAAATGCGTCATGACTTTTCTGACAACCCAATAGAAGTAGTTAGAACCATCCAAGGAACACCATTTAGCAACCCCAGCATTATGTTGGAGGCCGCCGATCTTTTCATCCCCCCTCCCCCCCAACTCTTATATTCTTCCGTTACTTTTTTCTTCTCTTGCTTTTTTGCCTGACCATACAGGCATTTACTTGGTAAGATGATCACTTCTATTTAAAACCCCTTTTGAAACTCCAGTAGGATCCCTAAGTATGTGTCTAAACTCCCTCCTTTTGCAGTTTGATATATTTCATCCTACTTTTAAACCGTCTTTGTCCTTCCAATAGGATCCTCTTCCCAGGTGAAGGCATATCCAGGCCTCTGTTCTTTTTATAGACTCTCCTCAAATCCAGTCTCCTTGTCCTTTTTATATTATATATCCAATCCTTTTCTTTCAAGGACTTGTTCTGTTTTTTTCTCTAATATTCTAGTGTCTAGTCTAAAAAGTGGCCTTTATTAAACAACTGAGCAAGGTCTAGACAGAAGTAAATGCTTAGCTGTTTGGATTATTCCTTTCCCTCAGTGTGCTATGTCATGTGGGTTCCATCCCTTTACTGTAATTTAGGAGCCTAGCCCAGCCCTTCCTTCCTCACTGTGGGCACTGCAGAAATTTGTCTTCTGAATCTCAGTGGTTTTTGTTAGCGAATCAGAAGACTGGTGTGGGGCGCTGCACTGAAGACCTAGATTCTATTTCTAGTGCCATTTTGTGATCTTGGGCACGTCGGCCTCTCTGAACTTCAGCTTCCTAATCTGTAAAAAGATGACATTACCTGCTTAATCATTTCATAGGATTGTAAGTAGGATAATGGATGCAAAGTGCAATCTAAAATCTAATGGGCCATCTTAGTAAAAGTAATATTATTGAAGCTTTCTGAGCCAATTTCCAAGAACTGTCTATTATAAAGTTACTTAAGGGCCGGCCGAGTGACGCGTTGGTTAAGAGCTGGCTTGGGACGCCAGCTCTGAGCAGCAGAGCCCGGGTTCGGATCCCATATGGGGGCCAGTGACACTGCCCTCTACAGCTAAGATGGTGAACAACAGCTCAACCTGGAGCTGGGCTGCAGCCCCTGCTGCAGTGGGCTGCCATAAGCTACTGTGTGTGGCCGGCAGCCAGCGTGAGCGGCTGGCAGCCGGTGTGAGCTGTCAAGAACTGCCGTGAGCGGCTCTCCAGAGGCCGGCGACTGATCTGCCTCACCCGGGAAGGGTGCAATGATAATACCAACATGGGCCAGTGAAGCAGCGTCCTCCACAACTAGACTGAAGAACAAAATGACAGCAACTTGTCTGTTCCCCTTCCCCCAATTCCCTAGCACTGTTCCCCTCCCCCAATTCCCCAATAAAATCTTTAAAAATAAATAAATAAATAAAGTTACTTAATCCCTTGAGCTGTGGACATTTGTGCAGGTAAGTCTGCAAACCATGGGCTTAGCCTATGCTGTATACTGGGAAAGGTTTTTTAGCATCAGAGTGGCACAATCCAATTTTTGTTTTAGGACAATAATTAGTGTAGGGAAGGAAAACCTATTTACCCTTCAGAATTCGAATAACTTTGGGAAGCCTTCATACCCACCTTCTCATCTTCAAGTCCAGATTCAGTGCCTCTCTTGTGTGCTTCTATAGCAGTGTTGCCTGTATCTGTGCACCTATCACACTCTTGTAATTCTTGTGTATTTGTCTTCTCTACTGGACCCCAAGGGCAGGAAACCATGTCTAACTTTGTTTTCTATGTTTAGCATTTAACACAATGTCAGGTACAGAGTTTGGATTCCGTAAATACTAATTGACTAAATGACCAGTTAGATGATTCTTTCAGTACTCCAGTTAGAAGATGATAAGGACCATAATTAGAACTATGGCCATAGGAAAGGAGAGAAGGAAGAGATCTAAGAACTTTCCAGATATAAAATTTGTAGGATATGGTAACTTTCCAGATATAAAATTTGTGGATGTAGGAAGGAGAAAGCCTAGTTCAGGAACGTGCTCAGATTTTTAGCTTAAGTAACTGGTGATGCCATTGATAGAGTCTAGAGGCAGAAGAAGATTTTTTTTTTTAATTGGGGAATTGGAGGAGGGGAATAGACAAGCCGCTGTCCCCTTGCTCCTCAGTCCAGCTGTGGAGGACGTTGCTTCACTGGCCCATGTTGGCACCATCATTGCGCTCTTCTTGGGTGAGGCAGATCAGTCACCGGCCACCGGACGGCAGCTCTTGGCAGCTCATGCCGGCTGCTGGCCGCTCATGGTAGCTTGCGGCAGCCCACTGCAGCCTATGCCATCACCAGCAGCCCAGCTCCATGTTGAGCTGTTGTTCACCATCTTAGCTATACAGGGCGCAGCATCACTGACCCTCATGTGAGATCCGAACTGGGGCCCTCTGCTCAGAGCCAGCATCCCAAGCCAACTCCCAACCAGTGTGCCACTCTACCAGCCCAGAAGAAGAGATTTTAGGAGAGACAATAAATTTGGCTTGTGTAGGTTCTGAGGCAATTGGAAATACCAGTGTAGTTCTAAGGTAAGATTCGGGCTACAGATAAAGATTTAGGAGTCAACAGTGGGTCAGCTCTCAACTGTGGCTCTGTAGTAGAATTATTTGGGGGTCTTTTAAGACATTTCCAGTGCATAACACCACTCTGGACCAAGTAAGTTAGAATCTCTGAGGAGTGGGACCTAGGCATCAGTACCTTTTAAAAACCATTTAGGAGATGGTTCCATTTTGCATCAGAGTTGAGGCTCACCGATAAAGGTTAAGGAAATCGTGTAGAACCAGAAACAAGGAGGTTTATAGTCAGAATCTGGAGGAATGCCAACAGGTAAGGGTAAATCTAGGAAGAAAGCCAGCAAAGGCAACCCTGTGTGGGCCAGGATACTGAGTCTTTTCGTCTTTGGTGCCCTACTTCCTTATTGTAAGATTCGAGTGTTGGGTCCACATGACTTCCGGGCATGAATGTTTTCAACAGAGCAGGAATGAGCTACCTCTCCTGCTTCTGGGAGTTTATAGCAATTCCCTTGCCTCCCATCTCCCTGCCACGAAAACCTAGACAGACCGATCTATACAAATATGATTTCTCTAGTAGCCTACAAATCATTCTCGATACTAAACAGCAGGAGGCTGGGAGAGGATCCCATAGGTACAGTGGTTCTCATGTCTATTCACATTTGTAATTTACCCAAAGCTGAAATCTTTTCAAGTTCGTGTTCCATCTATTATTGTTATCTTGGGCTTTGTGATGTAACATAGCAGTAATAAATAGGGTTTCCCACTGGGCAGAAGTAGCTGGTGGTTTCTCTTATTATTTCCTCTTCCTGTGTCCCCCTTCTTCCGATTATAATAACCATGTCTCAACCGCCTCGTGTCCAATTGTGTTTGTGACTTACTTTTTACATGTAATGAAAGGACAGGGTAAGCAAGAATGGGGCCATGTAAACAATGCCAGGAATGGAGGACAGCAGCAGCAGGTGCATTCAGGATTGAGTGATGATGTGTTGAGAGGAAAAGACAAATTACAGATTGGAGCCAGAGCTCTCAGGAGCCTGTGGGTTACTAGCTAGATTGTAGAATAGGCCCCATGTTTTCTTGGCTCCCTGAAAACAAAGAGGTGAGTTTGAGTTAGGTGTGTTATAAACCCAACAAAAGAAGCTGCATTGCAAGAAATTGGGTGGGCAGGAAAAAAACACATTGAGCTCAATTTTATGGACATTAAAAGTTTAATAAAACATGGTTGCTGCCTTTGAGGATTTTCAGTCTAATGAGGGAGTTGTTTGTAAAAATAGCTAATGGAATGACAGAATGCAATACTTGTTAAATAGGTCTTTAATAAAATAAATTATTTTCTCTAATTAAAGAAGATGAGAAAGCTTTGTGGAGAGGTGGCACCTGGGTTTGGCATCAAAAAGATGAGGAAAATTTTAGCCAGACGGGTTGGCAGTCAGGGTTCGAAGGCGGCATTCCAGGCTGAGGAAGCAGCGTGAGCAGACTTCGTGTTAGAGTGTGTTCAGGGAGTAGTCAGCTACGTAGTGTGGTTGGAGCAGGTGGCACATGGAAAAATGGTGGGTGAGGCTGTTATCTTAATGTCCCCATTTGTGTCACCTGTGATAAGGGCCTCTTCTTTCCCTATATTAAGTAGGCCCAGAGAGTTCTCAGACCTACCGACTTGAGCTGTATCAGTTTTTAAACACAATAGGGATGGAACTATATTCTCCACTAAGGACCATATAGGAATCACCCCTAGTGATTTTTCTTTTTTTTTTGCTACTGCAATGAGTCACCCTATGTGAAAATTCTGAAATGACCCCTTGGTTGAGAATCACTGTCATGGGGAGCCACTGTTCTTAAGGGACTGTGTCATATCCCTCAGATGTGCTGTGGTAGAACAGAGGTTAAGAACATGATCCTGACTGTAAACTCCCCAAGAGCAAGGACTATGTAATTAATTGCTTTTTTATTTCCCACAGATTCCTATATGGGGCCTCCGTAAGTAGACAGTTAGTACTATATTGCCACCATTTCACACCGTAATTTTTACAGAAACCAAGTGTTTGGTCAGTTGACTTCTGGCCATCTGTGAAACTGGAAAAGAGTAATAATGAGCCCAAGCGTCTAACTTCATTGCCGGCCTTTATACAGAATCCTCACCATGGATGGGCTCATTGAGGACATCAAGCGACGGCGGTACTACGAGAAGCCCTGCCGCCGGCGACAGAGGGAAAGCTATGAAACCTGCCGGCGCATCTACAACATGGAAATGACTCGCAAGATCAACTTTCTGATGCGAAAGAATCGGGCGGATCCATGGCAGGGCTGCTGAGGCCTGTGGGTAGTGGGCCCAGTATGAAAACCCCTGTCCGTTTGCGTCTCCACCTCTTTTCTTTTTCTAACCCCATTTTCTCTTATCTTTCTTGCAATAAACTCAATCATGGATATATAAGAAGGCCTGCATATATAGAAGCAATCCCATTGGTCAACGGTGGACCCTCTCTTTAATTTAGTGAAAGAGAAATTGAGGCAAAAAGTAGTCTAGGAGTAGAGTGGTGGTTGCCAAGAGCTGGTTGGGAGGGGGGAATGAGGAATTTTAATGGGTACAGAGTGAGTTTGGCAAGATGAAAAAGTTGACATGGATGGTGGCGATAGTTGCACAACAATGTGAATGTACTTAATGCCACTGAATTGTACACTTAAATGGCAAGTTTTATGTATGTTTTACTCTAATAATGTTTTTGAAGTAGTCTAGAAGAGGTGAGGACATTTTCTAAAATGTTGAATGTCTACCATTTGTTACCCAATTTTTATGAAACCCAAAGCAAGATCTTATCACTGGAAAAGCATCTGTTCACTTTTCTTTTCTTTTTTTTTTTTAGTTTCAGGTGTACAAAACAATGCAATAGTTATACGTTTCACCCCTAACAAAGTGACAACCCCCCTCCTCCAATCCACCACGCCCGCCCCTCCCCACATCTGTTCCTCTTTACTGAACTGCCCCAACTGTTAAATAAAAGGAGAGGAAGCATGTGTATATTTGGAATAAATACTTCAGAAACTCCTATCAACCAGACCAGAGTGCTGGAATCCTTGCCCAGAGGAATCCTTATGACAAATCTAACGCTCACTTCTGTTTTCTGTTTTTCCTAAAGGAGGCTAAAATGGAGGGATGGTGGAGAAGAAATAAAGCAGTAGATGGATGGTAGAAAAGGGGAAATGGGGGAGTGTTAAGAGACAGGAAGACACAGAGCCCGAAATACCTATAACAGAGGTTCTCAAAGTTTGCTCTTTGATCAAAGCATGCTCTTTAGATCTGCAGGGTGAAGATCACCTGAGAAATTGAGATGCAAATTCTGGGACCCTATTTTAGACTATCTGAATTGGAAATTGGGGTTGGAGCCCAGTCATCTAGTTTCACAAGCCCCGCAGGTGATTCTGATGCTTGCAAAAGTTTGAGGACTGCTGGCCTGTGGTACTTAAAAGAGATTCCAGGCGGAGTTGCCCAGCGCCACCCCTACCTCTCCTCAACAGGCACAACTGGGCCTGTGGTTTTTGACAGCTGGGGGCATCTGACCACTGTGGGAGGGCCAGCTGCTCTGCTTCCTTTCCCGCTGTGTGCTTCCTCTGGCCTTGGTCCCCTGACAGCCATGCTGCTGATATAAGGAGTGTTGGTGCCAACCCCCTTAGGAGAACGAAGAGGGCAGGCGGAAGCAGCTAGCCCACCTCACCTCACCCAGCCTGCAGCCCTCAGCATGGTGTTCATAAAGGAAGTAAACAGCGCCGATTGCCAAGCCCACTACCTCCAGATCGCTAGTGTTCAAACATTGCCCCCTTGTGGTGTAGTATATATTACATATGTGGCATTATCGCATTCAGGAGCAGCACTGTTTTAACTGCCTTCAGTCACTTGTCCTCACAGCAGCCCTCGGAGGTGGATTTTTTTTACAGGTGAAGAACCGGCTTAAGCAATTTGCCTAATGTCATAACTAATGAGTGGGAGAACTGGAATACAGATCTAAGCAATCCAGCTTTAAAACCCGTGCTCTTAATGATTAAGCTATACAGAGTCTCCGAGGATGCCTGGCACACACTAGTAGGCAGTCAATAAATATTTGTTCAATTAATGAATGAAACAATAAAAGGAGGGAGGGAGAGAATTGCCATCTTCAGAGTCCTCCTATACTTGTCTTTTTTCTGGGTGGTCGGTCTCTGGCACCACTGTTAATCTAGCTAAGGGAGAAAGGTTAGGGAGACGTGGCTAATGGTAGTGATCTCGACTCTTGCTGAGGATTGACTTTCTATCAGGCCACGTTTAGCCTGAATTCATAAGCCCCGCTCTTAATTTTAATGTTTTTAGTTCTAACGTAACTTTAGCGCACTTCCTCGCCACACTAGGAATACTGCAAGCAGCCCAATTTCTGTTTCAGGAAACATTAACTTTGCAGTAATCTAATTAATAGAGTTAGCTGGGGAAAAGGAAGCAATCGGGAGCTTGCGTGAGGTAACTTCAGGGCTCCGCCACGCATGCGCCCCACAGCCAGGAAAGTGGCTACTACGGCTGCGCGAGTCGGCGGCCCGGCCCTCCCCCGTCACGTGTGGAGGACCGCGGCGGGTGGCGGTAACGACGGCAGGCCGTAGGGCGGGCGGACGGTTTCCGGTTCCGGTGTAACGTTCGGGCTCCGTCTCAGGGGCTGAAGTTTGTGAGGTGAGTAGTGGCCCCGGGCCCAAAGAGGGTTTCCTCGGGTCGGAGCGCCCGGGGCCAGGGCTCAGTCCAGGAGGGGGACCAAGGCCGGAAGGTTCAGCGGGAAAGCCGCTGGGAGAAGAACACGGTTCTGAGGGAGAAGGGGCTGGAATGAAATTGTTGAGAGGAAAAGGGCGGGGGCGGGAAGGGGATGGGGTGCGGAGACGAGCCCTGAGACGAGGAGTTGGGGTAGAACGAGGTGGGGTAAGGACCGGTCGGAGAGAGCAGAGAGAGGAGCGGGGCTTCGGGAGGGTGGGGGCGGGGAGGGGCAACTCGGATGGTAGCAAAGAAGAGCACGGAGTGAGGAAACCCTTCCGAAGATTGGAGCCTGCTGCCTCCCCATTCAGAGATCCGTCTGCCTTCCTTTCCACTCCATAACACACACCCGCCCCACGCAGTTACTGTTGAACATTTGATTAGTGAGTGACAAAGCTAGTTACTGTTTGAAACTTTCATTTTTGCCCACGGGCTGTGTAGTGTGCACATTGTCTTACGAAGGATTGGGTTGAACTTGAGTACATTTGCTAGTTTAGCGTTGGGCACACGTTTCATCGAATAGACCGGTACCTGATGTATTGCTTTGGATTTTCAGATTGCTTACACTTTCTAGCCTGGGATTCAATTCTAGTGGAATGGAAGCCCCGTGAAGGCGAGGGTTCTTGTCTGTATTGTTCACTGTTGTACGTACCCTCAGCACCCAGTATGCTGCTTGGCACTTGGTGGTTATGCAGTAAACATTTATTGAATGAATGAAGCACTAAGATGAGTAAAATGAGGCTCGGAGGAATTACTTGCCCAAAGGCTCGGAAATGGGAAAGTTCAGTGTTGCACCTCTTCTGTGTGAGCTCTTTATTCATTATGGTATCTGAATATGCTTCGTTTGGGCCGGCCGAGTGGCTCCTTTGGTTAAGAGCTCGCTCAAGAGTGCAAGCTCTGAGCAACAAGATCACTGGTTCGATTCCCGGCCCAAGCTGAGCTGTTGCTGAGCTGTTGCTGAGCTGCCAACAGGTGGCAGGATGGCTCAGCTTTAAATAAATAAATAAATAAATAATGAATATGCTTCTTTTGAGCAATGCACATTTAATATATAGAGATTGAGAGATTATACTGCAGTTATTGAGAGGTTATACTAGAATTATTCACATAATCTCCTAGTTTCATGAAACTTCTAGTTTCATGACTTCAATCTACTAGCTTCATAGGGTTATATAAAAATTAAATAACACTGTTTAGCAACAGGTCTTATAGGGGACGTCCCTGCCAAGAGTGTAGAAGTTAATCAGTCGGTGTCTTAGGAGAAAAGATGCCTTAAAACATCTTGAGAGATTGACTCCCAGATCAGACCCTGATATGTGGCAGTGCTGGGAGGAGGTTATCTGGGCAATTGAAGTCAATGCTGTTTATTGACTTTCAGGCACTCTGGAAAAAATTGGGGAAATAAAATTTTCTCTATGCTCATGGGTTTGAGACTTAGGTAGGAGCTCAAAATGTAAACATGAATCATGTTTAAGAATTATACTAACTTGCGTTAAATAACAAATTAAGGATTTGTTATAGAGTCTCGTATGATGGTATAAAAAGAAGAATAAAGGTGAAAAGGCAGAACATCCAAAATGGGTGTATTCTTTTCTGAGCTGGGGGGGTTACTCTTACCGAGTCCACTGACAAAGACCCTATAGAACATGAGAGAAAATTATCTGGATACAGAATTCCCACTGAGGTGACTATGACTACAGAGAAATATAACAGAGCATTCTTAAGGATTATGAGCTTTAATACAGGATGACTGACCTCAAGAAGCCTTCCTTTACCTGCATCCCTTAAAAGAAAGGAAACCTGTAGCTTACGGCTAAGAAATGCCTGCCTAGAAGTAGGAGGAATAGAAGAGCTGCCTCTCACTGGGCTTTTCTCAGCCTTGTTTCCATGTTGTACTCATATGTTTGCCAGTCCTTGTTGATATGACAGGATCAAAAAAGAAGCTAGAGCTCATTTCTCAGACTAGACTATTCCCAGGGTTTATTTGTTTGTTTATTCCACAAATGTAATTGACCCACTGATACTTAACTGAGTCAGGGTTAGAAACCAAACGGAATGTAGTTCTTTCTGCTTTGAAGTACAGGTTTTAGGGTAAGTATTTGACTTGAAGTGGAGGAACTTGCTTAAGGATGGAGAATAGAGCTGGGGAAGACATTCCTGATGTAATAACCATTGACTGGAGTCACGTTACTAACAACTCTTTCCTGGTTTCTTTTTAGGTGCAGTACTAAGTCCCATTTGAGTTACCCTCCTTTTCCTGAAGAATGGCATTGTCTAAGAGGGAACTGGATGAGCTGAAACCATGGATAGAGAAGACAGTGAAGAGGGTACTGGGCTTCTCAGAGCCCACGGTGGTCACAGCAGCACTGAATTGTGTGGGGAAGGGCATGGACAAGAAGAAGGCAGCTGGTATGTACGTTCTGAATCTTATGACTTAACAGATAGGATGACTCCAAACACTGCTTCGAACTTCCCCCAAATTCTGTCTGTTGGGGGTGTCTAGAAAGGGTCAGGCCACGTTTTATTTTCTCTTGCATTGTAATGGAAATACCACCCCCAAGTAACTAATTTTGCTTTTTCTCTTATTTCTTAGACTATTTGTGACATATTTTGAATCTCAGACTAACTTCTTTTGACCACTGTACTGAGTTATCTAAGTTAAATTTACTTGGGATATATGCTAAAGTCAGATGTGTACATTCAGATTTGGGTTGACATCTAAACATACAGAAGTCTTTATAAAATGCATGGAAAAGTTGAGGGAGGTGGATTTTGTTAACGGCAGTCTCAACAACTTGCCATATGGGAAGAGTTAGGGAGGTTATTCATCCTAACTTTGATGCTCAACCTCAATAGGTTGCTCTGGCTATGCTACTTTCTACTCCAAAAAATTATAACTGTACTTTTAGCTTATAGGGCAAGGTCATTTAATGCAAGAGAATTTATGGGAATCCTACAGGGAACTTAAGAAAACATTTCCCTCCCCATGGGGGATAAAATTCCAGTGTTGGTATCTGTTATATGCCTAGTATCAGACTAAAGTACTCTTAACTTTTCAACCTTACCACCTCTTTTTTTCCTGTCAGACCACCTGAAACCTTTTCTCGATGATTCTACTCTCCGATTTGTGGACAAATTATTTGAGGCTGTGGAGGAAGGCCGAAGCTCTAGGCATTCCAAGTCTAGTAGTGACAGGAGCAGAAAACGAGAGCTAAAGGTAGGTTACACTTAACTATCTGATAAGCTCGGGAGTGTTTTGATTGGTAACAAAGTTGCTGAGCTTACCTGGCTCACAC